GTCCCCCCCCCCCCCCCCCCCCCCCGCAAAATTAAGGTTTGGCTACGCCACTGGTCATAGTTGTACGATTATAGCTACAAAGAGTTGAAGTTATTGTTTAAAGTAAAATATAGCTGAAGTCAATAGATTAAAGTTTTACAAAATCTCTCTTCAGACTCGCGCGTTCGCCAAACCTCGACGGCTCATATTTTTCGTTCTGCCTTTTTTCCTGTTTTGCCCCCCCCCCCAGTGAAAATTCCTTAAAAAAGGCACTGTCTTCGACAATAAAACTCTCTGTAATAATTAAAACGCTCATAGACTAAGATTGGCCCCCAAGAATGATTTAAAACTATATAAATTAGTTAAATTTGTTTCATTTACTTTTAAAAAGTACAAATTACTGGTAGTACGTGGCACGTACGGAAAAGTGGATAGATTTGTAAATACTTTTCGGTTTGGCATGAAGACTGATGTGTAGGTGTGTAATGGCCGCCATCTTGGGAATACAAAATGGCGAGGAAGACTGGACCCACAGCGATTGTTATGCGAATGAAAGACAACTCGTACTCAGGGCCTCATGGCTGCCTGCCCTGGATACGAGGTTGCGTTGTATGGTGTAAAATCACTGATATGTAACTAATGTCGGCTGGTATAGTGTCAAAATGATCACATGACACATCTGAAGCAAGGTGAACAAAATACCAACTATGTGTATTTCTTAAGAAAGAGTGGCTTTCAGCACTCGTAATAACTTTCACAGGGGGGCTACGCTGCCCTGTTGTATATGTTTAAATTTTCTTGTTTAAAAAGTGTGAGCTTTTTCCATCTCCAGGTAGTTTAACCATGCTAATTTGCTGGCGATTTTAGCCCCATATCTAACATTATATGGTGTGTAATCGAAACCACAAAAACCAATTATGAAGCAATTTTTCTCAGCGGCATTTTTTCGGCCGGGGGAGCATGGCCCCAAACCACCCTAGTTTTCGGCCTTCCTAATGCTCTAGTTACAGGGTTGCTTTTTTTATCTCTCAATACTGTTACTCTCAGTCTCTCATCATTATATAAGTTGACAGGGTTGTCATTTAAATTAATTAAACAGCGTGATTCCAGAGATCTGGTGAAGACGAGGTTGCTGGCCAGTGGCCAAGTATGGCCATCTAGGAAAATAACTTTCCTTCTTCAATTTAATTTCCAATCTGTTCCCAATAGGCAATATTAATGCAGACTTGCGCATGCACTGAAGTATATCCTTCTTTCATATTGGGATAATAAAGACAGATGTACGTCACTGCAAGTCTGCATTCACAACGTACAAACACTTATGGCTACAGTTTTAATCATTACAGACATTTGTTCATTACAGACTCCACAAACATTTTGGCAATTAAATGGGAAAAGGAAATCCAATGGCAATGGAGGAAATTTTGAATTATGAACGAAAGGATTTCATGTTCACTGATGTATAACAAGTAATATGGAGCTTTGTTATGTTTACGAAAGTCTTGAGAAAGGGTTGTACTGTTTTTATTTATTTTGTGTAACAATTAGGTTGAAGAAGACTGAGGTCATGCCATGAACCAGCACTGAAAGATCAAAGATCTCCATTTGCGGAGATCTTTGAATATAAACCCTCGAACAAGACGACAGTTAACCATAAGTATACGTTGTACACTAAATTGCAAAGAATAAATTGCAAGAGTTGTTCAACCGTGGAACGCTTTGCCTAGTCATGTTGCGGAAGCTGAAAATCTTGCTAAGTTTAAGAGTCAGCTCGAACTGCACATAAACTTGTTTTAATTAATCACTAAATTATTATAGTAACATTAATTTTCTCAACTTTGTATATATTAGTAATTCGTTTTTATTATTTTGAGGATCTTATCATAGGGCTAAACTCTAGATTCTCCAGCAAGAACCTTAATTTATATATTATATTATTATTCCTATAATGTGTTAAGATACCTTGAATAAATTTCTTGATTGATTGATTTTGTTACTTAGGTAGCATCCTGCATGCAGTGGCGTAACGCTGTCATTGGATAAATTGACCTTTTACGCGAAATAAAGCCGCGAGGTGAATTATTCGTAATAAGCTCAGAGGTATAAAAGCTAGTCCAAAATAATCTGTTACTTAATGAAAATTGACTGCTTATACGAGTTGTTTGTGACTCATTTAGGCTGCATCTTATTTAAGGCAATTTTAAGCTGAGACGTATGACAATACTTCCAGCTAGATTGTGGACGACTCAAATCATTGCTCTTTTACATGCCTCAAATGTCGGGGCTTAACTCGAGCGTCGAATATTTTCAACGACTTCGAGTTAATTAAGCCCCTCTTTTTTCTCGGGGCTTAACCACTGATCTAATCAGACTTGTTGGAACAACTTGTTGCGAGGCTTAACTCGAACTTTCTAAGTTGTTTATTTTCTGTGTTGGACTGTTGGTGTTATGTACTCAGGTGAATATGATGCTTGTGATGTTACCGTCTAAGTGTATATCCACACCGGGCAAGCTTGAAAAATATGCCTGGCCACGGTGGTTCGATTCCCTCACTAACATCACAAACATCATATTCACCAGAGTGCATAACACCACAGAAAAAATCATGATTACTATAGATTGCATTGATATCGAAGGAACTAGACTCAGTTCCGAAAAAAAATATCACATTTTCGAACTGACCTGACCGCGTAGCGGTAGCTCAGTTGGCAGAGCATTGGGCTAGTTTTCTAAGTTGTGTTTCTTTTTTCGAGTTAAGCCTCGACGAAAATGGGTGTGGTTTGGGCGTGGTCGCGGCTTAAGGTGGTCTTCCACTCAAAATTGAAAAAAGTTTAAAACTAGGTTAAAATTATATATTTTTGTACCCCTTGGAAGGTAAAGTGACACTGAATAAAATTATGTTTGCGATACACATGTTGTTGCCATGGTAACCAGGTTGGCCCCCAACTGTGAAAAACGGCCATGTTTTGTGCAAAAGATAACTTAAGAACCAGTGGTCTAAAATTCTCAAAAAAAGGCTTAAAGTGTACAGAAAAGGTTGCTGTATGTTCTGAACCACAAAAATACTCATATATTTTATTAAAAGTAAAAATATATGTGAATTTTCCTAACAAATGGAGAATTTGGCCCGAGGCTAACAACATGTCAATCATTTACTACAATTATGGTATTTTTGTCATTTTTGTTGGTTCAGAACACAAAGCAATATCAGAGCAAGCATTTGTGAAAGTTTCAAATAATTACTACTAGTATTTCTTGGGATATCCTTTTCGGAACAATGCGGGTTGGCCAAATTTCTGAATTGGAACAAATCACGTTTCAAAGTTTAAGATAATATGTGGGCTCACTTATCTAGATATCCCTCATAATTGGAGCTCATTTTCAGCAAAAATGTTTGATGCAATCTAAAATGAGCCACATGCATAAGTTTCTCCCTCTTTTTCTTCATCCTTGTCCCCCTTTTTCTTCTTCCTCCCACATAGCACTTTTCTCGGTCCGCAATCTTACAATATCTTGTTCCTTATAGTCTGTCTTTTTACTTATCATATCGTCATATCGAGAACATTCAGCTTCACATTATTTCCCAGGATTAATGCCAATGTTCTTCAGAACTTGAATAGAAGCTTCACATCCAACATTGAAGTGGGCAATAGCATCATGTACTCCAAGTTGCAGTACTTCTCCGACGCGTTTCTTTGACGTGTGTGTTGATTACCATAATAATTTCGCTTTTCCGAATAACCAGATCGAGCACGTCGCATTTTAAACCAACTTTTAACACCAAACAAATAGTAATGATGTGAAAATTTAAATTGCAAATGAGGAAATGCTTCGCCTGAACTTTCGCTGTTGAAATCAGTTTACAGAATCACTTTCCCAAACGAAATACTTCATGTAAACATGTATTAAATGTCCCTGATCGTTCTGCCAAAAAGAAATCAGGGAGGGGTGGGTAATAGTACATTTTTTCAAAACCAATGGGCAAGATTCACAGTAAACTATTCGTTGCTAAGGCGGTTGCTAAGGGAAAAATGGCACATTTGTTCAGTATTTCCTCCCATTTTTTTCATATTTAACGAAGAAATACCGTTAAAAAAGCTTTACAACATGAAAATATAATAAATAGGCATGACAATTTTGCTATTTTCAAAAAAGTGAAAAAAATCAAAATATTGAGTGGAAGACCACCTTAACTCAAAAAGGGCTTAACTCGAAGGGCTTAATTCGAAGATTACCTACCCCTCCACAGGCTTCACGTGTCTCGGCTTTACAATTCGGTTTGCCTGCAAGCAAATTTTGCCCGATAATCTAAAGTTAGCACTATTTTCCATCCAGCAAACTGCCCTATAGGTCAGTTTGCTGGATGGAAAATAGTGCTAACCATCTGTAAACATCTGTATTTATAGCTCAGTGTCTGTAACAGATTGACAATTTGTGAATTCGAGCTGTTTAGTGTTTACATTTGACCACGGTTTGACAGGCTGTGTACTGTGTTGATATGAGTTGGGGCAATTTATTTGGATTTTCTGGATCAAAAGACAAGTCTGTACCTGTTTTAAACGCTCTAGAACAGCAAAGAATGAAGCAAATTGAAAGTTTAAGAACCTTTCATCCAAGGTATTGAATAAATCAGACTTTGTTTACGTAATTACGCTAATTTTACCGTCGTCTAGCAGTGCCCGGCATGGTAAGCAAATGGTCTATTTTCACGCTAAACTTCAATTATGTATGTAAAGTTTCAATTTCATGTTATTATTTTACTCTGTCTATGCCAGATGATTTTTCTCATCAATCACCTATAAACCCATGACACCTTGTCAACCCTTTAAGTGGCAATGCACCCTGATGTGCCCACGTTATTAATTTACTCAGTCTAATACCAGATGATTTTACTCATCAATCACCTTGTTAACCCTTTAAGTGGCAATGCATGCACCTAGCTGATGTGCTAAGTGTCATGATCATTTCATTGCACAAAACAAGTGAAAACATATAGGGTTGTATTACCTTTTATAAGCCTTCTACACAGCCAGAAACGTGCAAGTCGGAACAGTTCTGCAACAGATCTGTTAAATCCTGTTGTCAACAAGCCGATATCTGGATGCGTTCGCTTGCCTTGTACCTGTCTGTTCTGACAGGTCCGCAACGGCCTGTCAACAGGTCTGTTAGAAGCTGTTGTGACAGAGCTGCAGCAATGCTGTTTTCAACAGGCCTATTAGAAGCTGTTGTGACAGAGCTGCAGCAATGCTGTTTTCAACAGGCCTGTCCCAAGTTGTTGACAGAGCTGCAGCAATGCTGTTTTCAACAACTTGCGACAGACCTGTTGCAAACCGAGGAAAGCACCTTATGAAGCTTGTGTATTCACTATTTTGAACAAAAAACGGCCAAACAGGTTGCCATATTTCGGTTGTAGTGCTTCGTGAAATAGCCAGACTTTCATTGCGAGATAATTTTTGAGCAAAACAGCTGAAAAAATATGACAAATTCAAGAAAGGTTCTTATCGTAAACAATTTTCAAAATTAATTGGTCTTTAAGTGCGACCGAAATATGACAACCTACTTGCATATTTTTCTTCAAAATAGTACATACAATAACACAAAGCTTCAATAAGGCGTCTTCCTTGCTCGCTGATTTCACTTGAAATTGGAAAGAAATCATTGTATATAACGAATTTCATATTCATTTGAACAATGAAGAACGTTGCAGTGAACACTCGGTTGCTCATGTATTTTTCATTTCTTAAGCTCTAGATCTTGTATTCTCATTGCCACAGTTTCTTCAAAAATCAAAACAGCTTTGAACTTGTTTGATTTTGTTTGAGGCAGTTGTTGAAATTTTGTTTGGCTCAAAATTCAAAAACAACTAGACATGATTACGTGATTGATATGTTTGTAATATTTCGTCCAATTGCAACGAGGAATGATGACGTGTGCACGCGCCTTTATCCAATCAGATTAAAGAAATATAACAATAGCACACGTCAGCAAATTGGAATTTGGATTCTGGAAATCGGAATTATTTTTTAAAAATATAAAAAGTTAAAAACAGCGGCTTTTGCATTTAATCACAGAGTAGATACTTAGGTTATGTTCACACGGGCGTCGTTTTCCAGCGTTTTGAAAACTTTTTTTCCTTTAATCGTTTTGACACCCTGTTCACACGATCCAAAGGAAAATATATCTCCAATATATTAAATAAACTACAGCTTCTGTTGTAAATTGATAGTGTTTACATTACTGTGTGCACATAGCCTCATCTCCTCTGCATGTGATTTAATATTGCCTTGAATGAGAAAGTGAAGCCGGTCGTGTCCATTTCGTGCGATTTTTCTCTTTACCACAGTCTTTACTCACATTTTCGATTTGTTTCCCAACAACAGGCTTGTTGAAACTTGTTGTGACAGGACAAAAATTGTTTGTTGTGGACAGGTCTGTCGCAGGTCTGATAACAAGCTTGCTGCAGACTTGACAAAAACAACTCGTGACAGGTCTGTTGGAACAAGTTGGAACAGACCTGTTCATTTCAACAGACTTGCTGCAAGTTGTTCTATCAGACCTGTTATCTCTTGTTAGTAACAGGTTTGTAACAGATTGTTTCAACAAGTCGCTACGGCTCTGTTGTCAACAGCTTGTGACAGACCTGTTCTCGCAAGCCTGTTACCGCCTGACGAAACCAACAGACCTGTCGCGACTTGTTGACAACTTGCCGCAAGCTGGTAAAATCAACAGCTTGCGACAGGCCTGTGAGATTTCTGGCTGTGTAGTCTATAGAGATGCTTGATCTGAATAAATACGCCACCATGCATATACACTTTAATCTGTGTTGTGAGACTGATAAAGCATCAAAAACCGTGATCGAGTCTCATGGCAAAACCATGAGAATTGGCAGGTCTGAATGATGGTTAATTAGATCGGATTCATTTGAGCCATAAGAACGTCTATGAAGGAAAGCATGATGATATGAAGAAAATTTAATTATTCTGTCCTATTTTATGCCTTTAAAATAATGGGAATGGTTTCTTCACATCTTTCCATGCAGAAATTTTTAACAGGTCAAAGAATAAAATGAGTGAATCAGGATCATGCAGGCCTTATCTGGCAGCATTGATACAGATTTTGTAGGGGAGGTGAACCCTAGGCCGAACACCACAGCTGCAGTGTCATTAAAATAATGGCCTGGAGCCAAGGGTTACTAAGCACACATCAAGTTTGTAGCTTGCATGTAGCAGTCTTCCTTTGGGGAGTGAGCATCAATTACCATAATTTTACCTGAAATAACTTTTTAACCACTAATTAATGTTTCTTTTCCCAGAATTGTTTGGTATGGGGGGGGGGGAATGGGTCAAAACTTATCTGACATTTACCTGAAATTTATTTCAGACACAATGGATGATTCCAGCTATATATATACTAAATTTTGATCCAGGCAAGAAGAACGAAATCCATCAGCACAGTCTTCCTTTGGGACCTTTCTTGTCCTAGTAACATACATAATAAGAACCTACTGTATTTATACTGTTTACATGCATGATTAGCATAAATGTTAATATAACCTATCAACACCTTTCCCCTTATAAAAAAGTCTTTTTTTTACACATTTTTTTTAAAACAATAATATGAAGTTCAAATAAACAAAGTTTCTAAACAATAATATGAAGTTCAAATAAATGTTCTTACAAAGAAAAGTACTAAGTTGAGATAAATGTTTCTTAAGGATTAAATGTTACTGTATATAATCTTTAAGTCTTACTGGCAATTTACGAATTCTTGTCGAACGACGTAGAGGTTCTGGCTGTGTTTCCACTACTGGAGATGGTAGCACCGTTACTTGTTTCTCGGTTGTTTCCGTAGGTAATGCTATTGATGATGGTAAGGTTTCGTCTGGGAGGGATACTATTTCTAATTCTTCATGGTTCGTTTTGTTGAAAGCCTGCGGTGTGACATCAGCTTTTCGGAGTTGTTTATGGTTTCGTTGAATTAGTCCAACAGCCGTATTCACGACACACGACCGATGGCCACGATTTTTTACGACTTCTCCATATATCCATGGCTTGTGTTTATTTTTCGGATTTGGTTTCACGAAGACTTGGTCATTTCGCGAGAACGATTTCAAAGGTTTGGGTGATGCTCTTTTATCATACAGTTGTTTGGACCGGACTCTACGCGACATTATATCATTCACAACTTCAGTGCTGGAAACAGGATGTGGTTTAAGTTGTTGAGGTACTGACACAGTGATATCTCGTAGTTTCCGATTCATAAGCCTCTGAGCAGGTGAAAACGTGTGGCCCTGTTGTGGAGTGTTCCTGTATGCCAGCAATGCCAAGTAGGGATCTTCATGCCGCGCTTTCTTTAGAATATTTTTCGCCACCTTTACCGCAGATTCTGCCTTTCCGTTGCCTTTGCTATGATAAGGCGACGACTTAACTGGTTTGAATCCATATTCACTGGCAAATTGGCTGTACTCATGACTACTGAACTGTGGACCATTGTCACTGACGCATGCACGAGGAATTCCTGCTCTGGCAAAGTTCTTTTTCATAGCATTGATGACTGCCGTTGCTGACGTATTCTTTAGCCAATCAATTTCTATGATATCACTGTAATGATCAACAGTTACCAAGTACGTTTTACCATCCAATTGAAATAGATCAACACTTATTCGTTCCCATGGAAGTGTGGGAATCTCCTGAGATTTCATCGGTTCGGTTGGTCGTTCTGATTTATACTGTGCACACAGACCACATGACAAGCAGGTTTGGCGTATTGCCGCTGACATACCTGGCCAGAATAGTGTTTCTCGGGCTCTCC